ACAACACTTGGATTTAAACTCGCTATTGAATGCCAAGTTAGTTACCCTCCTAACGGAGGAAGACCCAATGCTAGGTCCGATCGTTTCAGCTCTTCAAAACAAAGTAGAAAAGGTTAATGCGAACTCACATTAACTCAACCATTTTACAACAGATCTACATGAATCCGACGGATTGCTCTACATGGACGGAAAACTAGTAATCCCATTTACCCTTCGGAATGCAGTAATGAAGACCTTACACGAATCCCACCCTGGACAATTCGGTATGAAATATCTGGCACAATACATATGGTGGCCACACATAAATCGTCAGATCTATTTCCGCGGAATAAATTGTTTACAATGCACACAAACCGGTAAGAACATAAAAAGTATTATAATATTACTCAAACCAGCGAACTACCACTTCTTTCCGAACCTAACGAAGAATTAAATCTTGATTTTGCCAGCCCGTTAGACACCACTTGGGGAAAGAATAAACATATTCTATTATGCATCGACCGATTTTCAAAGTTTCCATCGGCTAAAATAACATCATCAACCTCATCGAATTTCTCCAAGATTATTTTTACTTTCATGGAATTCCAAATTCTGTTGGCGTCGACCACGCGTCCTGTTTTACTGGTCAGGATTTTAAATTATTTTGCAATTCTTACAATATTAAATTAATATTTTGTACAGTCGGTGATCATCGCTCTAACGGTCTTGTAGAAAAACTTGTACATACTGTAAAAATTAAATTATTAGCAATGTCACTCGAACAACAAAAACCTTCTTTACCACTCACTATCTCAAAAATCATTTGGAACCTACGTTCTTCCTTTCAATCAAAAATAAAATTATAACAATTCGAAATCCACTTTAATAGAAAACCGAAGACGATCTGGAAGCAATTGGCAACTAGTAAATTATCCGGTGGAGTTTTAGACAAAGGGAAGTCAATCTTAAGCAAGGAATGAGCTCTCAACTGAAAGGCAGACGACCGGGCTGAAGACGGCTACAAGGACAGCCTAATCCCAAAGTAGAACCAATCTCCAGTAGAGAAAGAGTACGAATCGGACTACCCACCTGCCTCTAAACCTTCTTCCTCCCGCATACCTCTACAAAGCCCTTTCAAAGGTAAAATACTTCAAAAGACCAATGGAAGTATAAACGGAAAATTATAAATGCATCAAAATCTACGGTAGAATTATCCGATGGAAAAATCATAAGAAAATCTGACATTGCTATTCCAAAATGTAACTCAACTGCTATCCGTTCTTTTAGAGGAAATATCTCTTTTCCACCATTTCCTATCTCTGATTTGCAAGTAGGTTCAAGAAAGACTTCAAAACCGAAATCCTCGCAGACAAAAAAAAATAGGCCCAAAGACTAGACAACAGACAGAATCAGCCACGTCGGACAACAATACTAGGACAAGAGTTTCGAATCAATCCAACAAAGCGACTAAGAACAGACCAACTCGAAACAAGGCCTCGACTTCTGACGCGGGATATTTAGCAGGTGTCGAATCTATGTTCATTCCGTCGGATACATCCGACCTTAGCGACTGGGAATGGATCGCGGGCGGTTTTCCCTGCAGGGATATGATTAGAGAACGCCTTGTCTCGGATAATTTTTACTTCTCATGAACCTAATATTCCTCTAGATTCTCAAACATCTCAAGCTAACATAAAATCTGAGATTTTAGATGACCAGCCTCAAACGTCAGATCCGTTGGATTGCCCAATCAGCATAATTCCCGCAGGACAAAGTACTACTACCTCCCAACAAAACAACCATCTCACTCCAGACTCGATGACAAAACCTTCGGATACTCCAACGGAGACAAGGAAGAAAGTTGAGGGAGACAAATCGGTCGACTTTTTGATTTTCGAATCGTCGATTCCTCAAACGACAACGCTACTTTTCAGGAAACCCAGCCAGAGGAGACCACTAACACTGGTAACGATTTTAAATTAAGTTGCTCGAGTCGAAACGTTGGACCTCCCCAAATCTATGGTAAAAGGTTTTACATAGATATTGTAGACGAAACCGACTACAAACCTGGCTCCGCACGAAATCCGATCTCCCTTGACGACAACGACCGATCTGGCTTCCCCTCTGGCAACATCAATGAAAATCCTTCGGACAAACCAACCCCAATTTTCAGCATTCAATCGGCAGAAAATACAGTTTTCTCACCAAATTGCTCTTCAACTGACGCACTATCTCTGTCCTCTACTGATCAGTCACTAAGAGATGCCGTGATCAGTTTCGATGATTTCATAGTTTTTGATAGTGAAATCTTCAATGCAGAGCTGCAAAAATTTATGGAAGGCAACAAACCAAAAAACTGAAACTCAAACTTTTTTCTTATATATTATTCGCAGGGATATTTTCAGTGCTTTTTGAATTTCAAATAAGTCTTCTAGCGCTATTAGATTTTAAGTCAAAATTTAACTGCCGGTTATACTAAACAGTCACTCCATCGGAGTATCAATTTACTGTGGTATCGGTCGGTGCTTACTATTCAAATTCGCTAGCTTCCTTCAGGAGGAGAAAAGGGCCAGTTACCTTATTTACTAACTGATGTCAACCTAATGCAGTTTAATTTTTTTCCCATCAAGGGGAATGTCCTGAATCGCAATATTTTATTTTAGTTATTAATCAATCTGTAAATTACCATAGCTGGTTACTTAGCTTTGACCTTGATATGCTCATTCTCTCCGGCGGAGAGAATGCTCTGCTCACTTTTTAATGTTTTAACTTTGAGATTATTTCACTTTTAAACACGTTTTTTTCTCTACATAAGAAGAATTAGCTATAACAAAGGAACATTTTATCACAATCAAAGAAAGTAAACTTGGTTTTTCTGTGAAGCAAGATTTGATATTGCAACTCTTTGTAACATTCGCCCGGAAGCACATATCGACGGAAAATAAAGCTAGGTTCTAAAACGACTGGCTAGCGTCTAAACACAGCTTTACATTCATTTCACCATCTCTGCCAAAGCCAGTTCTTTTGGTGGTCTTTTTAACATCGGGTCGACAAAAAAATCGTTACTGTTTCCGGCTTCGATCAGAACGCTCTGATTAACTTAATTATATGCAAAAATAGTGAGCTCATGGCTGGGTCTCAGTATCCCAAGACCACGAGGTCACTCCTAAAAACAGGGCTACTACTTTTAAATTATATTACTAGTGTTTTTGTTCAGTAGATAATAAACATCATCTCCATCGAAGATGGATCAACCCTTTTCCCCAAATCCTAGTTTCTCATTATCTGAAAACGAATTTGGTATTAATTAAATTCGACTCAAGACGTTCCGGTAAGCTAAAAGTTTGTATGAAACAATTCAAGTTCCAATCCCGAGACCCTTCCGGATTCTGGAATCCGGAGAAATAACACTCTTATTTCTTCTCGGAAGGCTGGAAACGTCGTCCCAACAACCTCCGTTGTTCTCTTGAACTGCTCATTAACGATTGTAGCGGCACAATCGTTAAAACTCGGAGTGGTTTCTGACAATTTCTAACCACAATCTCAATCTTCTGCCGTTTTTTCGTAGTTGTTGTCACTGAGACTAATGTTGTTCTGTTTTCGCAGTTTCAATGTGTGCGAAATAATAAAAGGTTACGTGTCGTTCACGTCCAAATCGAAATTTTAAAAATTGGCATGTCAGTCGAAACTAACCCTTCCCGATTTGTCTGATCGTTCAATTAACGTCACTAATTCATCAAAACCATCAATCTTCCCAGTTAGATGTTCCAATAAAAATTCGAATGCGAAATTGCATTTTGACCATTCTGGTCGAATGTCACACTTTCCTGCGATAGTTTTTTCCATTGTTATTTCTTTCCTGCAGGGGATTGGTGGTTTGAAAGTTTTTCAGTAGTTAAATTGAAAAATGGTCTTTGCATTGTTTAGAAGAAGAAGAAGAAGAAGAAAGAACACTTGAATTACTATACAATAAAAGCCGAGGCATCAGTATAGCAAAGTGTAAATAATAAAGTTGGTTAAAATTCATTGGTTACATCAAACAAAAACACAACATCAGAAAACAAGCAATAAACAAAACAAAAAAAGTTCGGTTGCAGTTCAGAAATTGGTTGATTAAAATATATGAAGTTACGGATACTAAAAAAACATCAGTTTTAAGAATTAAGAACGAGCTGGTATTAAAACTTTACAAACAATTTTACAGATAGTCCAAACATACAGCGTATATACAGAGTATATACAGATTCTCTTTCAAACAATGTGTGAAAAATTAAACTAAATTAAAACATATAGAACTAGCAAAAACGGAAATCACGCCATGTATTTGTATTTGTACATATTGGATTGTTTCTCAATTCACTCACGTAAAATTCTTTCAATTTTTTATTGTGCATTTTTATTTTTTCTCAGAAGGTCTGAAATTATCGAGGTAATCAAAGTTAATTCAGTAGTCCTTCATCATAAATAAGGGGAAATATAGTAAAACATGAATAAAAGTAAAGAGGCAGATGGTTGGGAATCAAGCCAATCATATTAAGAAAACTGACACCTGAACAGAATAAACCGGAGTTGATCTCGTAAAGATTCAGCTGATATGACGTTACTGGTCCATCAGAAATTTATACTAAGCTACGCCCACGTTCCCTTGGCTTTATAATGAAAGATTTTTTCGAAACTAGTTTTATCATTAATGGTGCCCAGTATGCAGGCAGCGTTCGCAGCCCGTATTGCGAGTAGATCCTCTGTTTAAGAAAATTACATGCCCTGGCTTATTTACACAGCTTACTTAGAATTTTACTGCTAGGGCCATCGGCACTCTGAACTTAAAAAGCTATTGATGAAAAATAGATCCATCATTAATTAAATCTATTTTTGTCAGTTTTGCGATCTTCCACCTCGGCCGCAGCCGTTTCGGGGTTACAAACCGAGCTGTGCTTATTCTACTAGCGGCTAGGGAGCCCGCTACCGTTACATCACACAGAGACTTTCTATAATCTCTACTTTTTAGCACAAAGTTTGATTTACTATTTTCTTCTGCGTGTATAATTACAAGACAGTTTATCTGCAATGTTTTTAATTATATAATGACCGTACTCGGTCATTCATTTGTAATCGCAATTGCTGCGAAGATCCGCTTTGCCTTTGTGTCCGTCTTTTCCTCTAAAGTAAATATTTTTTCAGTTTTCATGAAAACAACATCAAATCGTGTTAAGCTGTGCAGGGGTGCTGAATGCTTGAAGAATAGATTTTTCATCTGTTATTTCCCTGTTATATTCACCTATGTGTGGTGGGTATCGCATGTTTATCTCTTTTATGCCGTATTTTTCACTCCAAGGCTAGCAAATGGAACCATCAATTACAGTGATTGGATAACCCTTGTCTGCTATCCATCTTACGGCATAGTTTCAATGCTATGTCTAGTCTCTTTAACTCGATGTGTTTTCACTCCGCCAGGTGTTGTTGATTACGGATTCGATGAAATGATAACTGAAACGGTTAGTGGAGTTTGAAGCTTTAAGTGATCTGTATAGTTTTTCAACTAATATATTTTTTATTACACTAGCTATTTGCCAGCGGCATTTCAGTGGATTATCGATTTAAATGGATTATTGATGGCTATATTCAAAATGAAAACAAATTCCAGCTATTGGTTTTGCACGTTTGGATCTAAATTTGTTCACGCTCAAATGTGATTTTCGAGGTTTGACTTCAGTTTGATCAAGTTCAATTCAACTTTGGATGCTAAAAACAGGGCAGCTTACGCTCAAATAAAATTACGCAAATGGGACGAAAAAACGCGGATGAGTTTTAGCTTCAAAAACTGACTTTAATTTTCAAATTCCAAAAAACTTACATGTGAGATCAAGTTTTCTCAAGTAAGGCTGCGGTTTATCGAAAATATTTTGAAATTAAGGGAGCTGTAAGGTGACATAAATATATGTTTTTTAGACAGAATATTTTCTGAAAAAATCATGATTTATACGTTTTTTTTTCAAGGTTAACTGGCATTTTTTTCAATTGTATGTTGACTATGTTCAGTTTTATTGGCCTTAGTCTCAATTACTTGCTCGTAGAGATACTGATTTCATAAAGTTGTATTTCAAAAATATGGTTCAGGCTGAATCATTCTGTGAGTTTTTTGCCGGTCTAAATGTCTGTTGTAAATTTTCAGCTGCCCAAGTCTGCTGGGTTAAAAAATTCTGGATTTTTAAATTTATTTTTTAAATGAGCTGTTGTGAAATATAAAGTTGATAAAAATGAGTTGCGGTTATTCCTGATTTTTTTGAAACATGGAATATGTCGATGTTTTTTCACATAGTCAGTATTTCTATGAATGGAGGCTGGCATTTTTGTATCGGTCGTCTGTGTATAAAATACAATTTTATATCAAATACACTTCTGAATTAATTACACATTTTCGTATCCCTTCTTTTAAATCGTGTTGAAAGTGGTCCTAAATTATTTCAGAATGTCTTCTGTAAGTGTGGTCTTTACTTTCTCACCTTAGTTGATCTTATCAACAATCCTTCATATATTTATCCTCTACGTAAATTCATTGCATCCTGGTTAATCTATCAAGCAATCAAACCCCAGTCACAAGCCCACATAGGGATGGGCAGATACTCGCTTTACTTTATGTTCACTTATTTTTTGTTCAATCATTTTTAAGCAGTAATATCACAGTTCAGTTAGACAAAAATTCCCTTATATTCTGAGAAATTAACATGGGTTTGTAACGGCAAAGTGCCCAGTTCCGTGTCCCTACTGCATTAACCATCTACTCGAATGGAATAATATCTGTGGTTGTATTTATCTTTTTTTTTACGTTGATGGCGTAGCTGAATTTGCCTTGGAGGAGGGGCTTAATTGATCGAACAATCTTAATATTTCTATAATCAGTGAACGTTTGGTAGTAATTTAAATTTTCGTGCTGTGTTCAAGTGGTTTGACATAAGACGGAAAAACAATTGCACCAGTTGAAGAATAAGGACACGTATCTGAATTTGACGTCTCGAATGTTCTATCTTAAATTTCAAAAATGTTCAATAGATTAGTTAGATGACTCAGAGAACAGATGATCAAATCATTTCAAAACCAAAATAATCCGACATTGGGTCAAAGTCCGTTTCTAAATCAGATTTTCAAAAATGTCCTGTTTTTAGGGACACAAGACGTTTTGTGACTACTGTGAATTGGCGAGACCAAGAAGAGCTCATCATTGCAAATATTGTGGAGTCTGTAAGTCAAGCATCTTCTTGCAATTGGACTGTGATGCAAATGGGCTTCCGTCCCCCTATTTGCGTTTTGCCTGGCTCACATTTTCTGATCATGATTACCCTTGGGAGCATTAGACTTTTTCATTTTAACTGTTTGCCCAACAGAATCGCTGAATCATTTTGCAAATTTTGTGAATTTGTCAATGAAAGACATATGTTGAGCATGGTTGCATTTTAAATACACACACTATTTGAAGTTAGAATGTTTTTGCGTTGGTTGTAAAGTTACTGACTCCGATTTGTATACTTGTTTTTTCAAGAGTAATGAACGTAGTGAAGACTCTTATATAGGTCTTGCTGACTTATGTTTTTTATTCTGGAAAAAGTCTTAAAATATTGCTGCACTTAGGTATAATGCCTTTTTTGAGTTCAATTGAAATTCATCTGCTGAAAGTGATGTAAATAGCACTGTCCAAATACGAACGTGGAACTGGCGCGAAAAAACGTGTACAATATCTAGTTTCGAAAGTGGAATTTAATTTTTTTTATTTCCAGCGGAATAAAACTTTATCTGTTGATCCATTTTTCTCTAGGTGGGTCAAAAAAGTGCCCGTCGTGAATTGATCGAAAAGTTCAAAGAGGTTAAAGGAAATGCAAAGTCAGTGTGTTTTTTTTAATGTTTACTTGCGTTCATTACTCTTTTCCAATCTTCGATTGGCTATGTTTTTTCGCCTAGTTCGCCTCTACACAAGCAAAGCTTGTGTTATAGTATGAACTCTCTTTTTTCCAACCTAAGTCGCAAATGTTGTTTAACAAAGGTTTCATGGATCTGTAGCGTAGAGGTAGGAAAAAGACCAGCTACAAAATAAGAGGGTTCGAACCTGGGCAGGGTTGGATGTTTTAAAGGAACTTTTTTGTATACTAGCTAAAATGCATCCGCTCTATGTGGCATGTTGCTTGGTAAATTTCTGTTTTTTTTTTCAAAGTGACGCGTACTGCTAATGCGTCAGAATTGGCTTGCGTCACTTAACAATTATGTAGACTCATAATTGGCGTGCGTCACTCAAGAAATTCTGTAGGCTCAAAGTTTTTTCATTCAGTTTTTCCCAGTAGCGTTGTCGGTCATATTTTTTGCTTGTGTATGCGAAGTGCAACTTCGCCTCTGTGTCAAATTATGTATTTTTAATTAGCATTCGAAAAATTTTAGTCAAATTGCATTTTTAAGAATTTTTTGACATGGTTCTCGTTTCATGTGCTCGGGTGGGTTTTTTTTTCTTCTGACAATTTTCGACTTTTTAACTAGCTTATTTTTGACGGAATTTTTTTTACATCATTCAAAAGGTATCTCATAACTCATAGGACTCATAATTGGCGTGCGTCACTTAAGAAATTTTGTAGATTGAAAGTTTTACACCTTCAGTTTTTCCCAGTAGCGTTATCCGTCATATTTTTGCTTGTGTATGCGAAGTGCAACTTCTCCTCTGAGTAAAAAGTTACTTTTCATGCTTTGTCGTCTTATTCGCCTCAAATTGGAACGACTTTTGACGGGCGAAAATTCTTATACATTTATGTTTCACGGAGGGATAGCTTTTATCGCTTATTTTTTCAGGTTGCTAGTGCTTTCGAAAAGACCAGATTTGAATGAATGGAATGCAGTTTTGATATCAACGCCAGAAATTTGATAGGCGTTGCTCGATTTAAGAAAAGATTGGTAGCGCGAATTAGGAAAGAGCTTGTGTCACGGCGCGTCAAAAATATTTAGGTGAAATTCTTAAGAAAAGACTAAGGCAGCGCAAACTACGTTAATAGCGTTTGAAACGATTGATACAGTAACTATTGCTAAGGTTGCGATTAGAAGGCGTTATCTAATCGGATTATAGAGTTTTTTCGGGTTAACAACTTGTTGAACAGAATCACTTGATAGCTTGATTTATTAAAACAAATTCAAGATTCCTGACTTCTCTGGCCCAGTGGGTCAAGAGATAACGTCTAGGTTCGAATCTGGCCTGTTTATTTTCCAAACGGCGAGAGTTTACCCAAGATTTTCCGGCTTATTTGCCGCTCGATAAATTTTTCTGAATACTTGTTTCTCGCCGGCGAGTTCTATTGCTGAACGTGTGTTCCTCAACTAAAATATCATTCGAGTTTTTTTGTAATTGTGTTTTTTTCTGGACTCTGGTGTTCGTTTCGATTTTTGTTGCATTATGTGTTATCGCTAGTGGTGCGAAGCTTCGCCTCGGTGTTTACACTAGCCATCAGCTTAGTGTATTTTTATGAACCCCTTTTTAATGTAACTCGCAAATAAAAGTGTGCTTTAAAATTGTTCTTTGGTTTGGAAAAATCACTGTAGCATTGGAAATTGATAGCATCTGTTCTCTGCTTTTCTGTGGCTAATGTGTGGTACCTATTAAGCGTCTGTGGCTGAGTGGTTAAAGTGTGAGACTCGTAATCTCTATATCGCAGGTTCCAATCGCAGACGTAGCCAAATTTTTTCTAATTCAAGGCTTCTTTCTAATTTTTCATTGCATTTTATAGAGCGGCTTTTTGTCGTGTTCTCATCAGTGTTTGCAAAGGGAAGCTTCGCCTCGGTGTTAATATGCAATTGAAAGCAAGCACTCGTTACATCAAAATTATGATGATTATGTTATATGGGGTCTGTTTAGTAAAAAAAAAAAGAGCCTTCAATTGTTTGACAGGGAAATGAAAATCTAACTAAGAGATTTTGTTGACTTCAAGGTGTAAGAAAATACGACCACCACTGTCCGTGGATAAACAACTGCGTCGGTGAAGACAACATGTGGCTGTTTGTTCTACTCAGTTTCTATGCTTCCTGGCAGACTGCAATTACACTGTGCATTAATCTGTACTACTTTTACTACAAATTGTATGCAGTTGAAGTGGACGCTACAGCTGATAGAGGTGATAGTGCAATGGACCCGTTCTTTATACGACATGAGTTCTGGGTGTTTGTAATTGACTTGCCTTTGACTGGTAAGAATCTATCTTATCTGGTTTACAAGACAGATCTATGTTTTTCTCGAAAGAAGAGTGCGGGTTTTCTAAAAAAGAATTCGGAAAAGCTTTAGAAAAACCTGATCGTAAATGCCATTTTTGGAAATTTTTGCAAGTCTACAGAAGAGTGTTTTTTGGCGCTTTTCCCTCGAAATTAGTTTATAGTCGCGCTAATGGCTCTTTAAAGTTTTTTAAGGTTGGTCGGCCGAAACTCGGATGTCACAACATAGTAACACAGGGGACCCGTTTGGCGATGAGAGGATCTAATCAATGAGGGGGAAAGGGTGAACCCCTAAATCGGCCCCTGTTCTAGACAAATTTCTCTTTGAATGTTAATCTAAGAAATGATGGGTCTTTCAAACAAATGAGCATAAGATTTACTAAACAATTGAAACTATTTAAGTGTTAGGCTGTCACCGAATTTTATCTGTTTTTTAAAAAGTTGCTTCAATGGCAACGTAGTGGCTTTTTGGATGTCGTTTTTCAAGGTTTTGACGGCTCTTTTTGAGGTTTTGGCTTAAGAAAATAAGTTTCTCCAACAACCATCGCCCTGAAAGTAAGTGTTTAAAAATTGCACAAGTAGTTGAATGAGTACTTGCGCAAATAATTGCTTTCAATCAAATAAAAGTGAATTGTTTTGCATTCTTGATTAAATAACATTCTTAGTATTCTGTTTTGATTACCCTTACGATAAGCAAGGGTATTGCAATCGGGTACTGGGTTTTTTCCACTAAATATCTTTGTTCACAGAATTATCAATTTAGTAGAAATAGTAAATTTCAAGACATGCTCAATTTCTGGAAAGTTCAAGTAAATCTACCTTGATTTGAGTAGTAAATAGGTGTTTACCATAACCGGGGTTAATTTTTTAAAATGTTAATTTTTTTCACGTTCGTGATTTTCGGCCTTGTATCCATCGGTTCAATTTGTTTTTTTTTTTAAATTTGAGATTTTATTGTCTGGTAATGTTTCTTTTCGGCTTTTTTTGTACAGCATGGATTTTAATTGTTCCGATCATTGAAACTGGGGAGGAAATTTGTATTCGGGTGTTTAGTTTTTTTTGCTTTTTGTTTTCCACGCAAAATCAGGTACCACAAATAATAATCGCGCTGGGTTGAGTGATAGATCATATTAAAGCCCTTTCAGTCGTGATTCGAACCACGTTAAACAAGTTCCACAAAGTTTTCTCAGCGTCGAGAAAAAACGGTTTGAAATTTTTGATTTAATAATTCGAGCAAATAAAGCAAGCGAGCAGGCTTTCAAGCTAAAGTATGCCTAATTTAAGACCTTGAAGTTTAATTTTAAGCTAGTGAAACTAGTTTTTGGAGTTTTTTTAGCTTCATTTTCTGCCAAAGTTTTTGAAAAACATTTTTAAATTTTTTTTAGTCATTTTTCTTAAAATTTTTCTGTGCCATTTGCCTATTTTGCTATGACTGTCTAATATGCCTAAATTATATTTTTACGTCAGATCCTTTTATCACACCAGGTAGAAAAAACTACGCTAATTTGGAAAAAAACTTTCTAAACCGTAGTTCTCTTAAGACTATGGTCGGAACATTCTGTGCTACTTGCACAATAACCGGCTATCCTTGTTTTTTTGGAATTTTTTTAAATAAAATTGAAAGTTCTGTAATTTGTCGGTTTTCCAAGTCTGATTTTAAATATATTTTTCTCGATTAAATGGTTTTGGATTATGTTTTATTGCATAATCATCTTTCTTTACGTAGTTTTGAGGGTAAAAATCTTGGTTGTTAAAATCACGTATAATGAAATCGTATTTTTTGAAAACTTTTTATTTTTTGAGACGCTTCGGCAAATTTTTTCACTTATCACTGAAATTTTAGTTTTTCTCCACGATTTCTTTTATTTAAAAAATAAAATGGCACAAATGAAAGTCCGGCCAACTGTAAAATTGTAAGTCTGCCTGCTTCCGAAGTTTCTTCCAACTTCAATCTACCTTCAAAGGCCTTCGAAAATTTACACGTGGGGAACGTTTGACCAATTTTTTGGATTTTTTTTCAGACACTATCGTGCCAAATCTGAGATTAAGATTTCAATGGCAAGAACAGATAGTGGGGATCTACTCTACGTCAACCGCCACGTCCTAATTAAGAGTTATGAACGTAGTGAAAATTCTTATATAGGTCTTGCTGATTTTTTTTCAGGAAGAAGTCTTAAAATATTCATGCACTTAACTATATATGCTCTTTTTGAGTTCAGTCAAATTCATCTGCAGAAAGTGACGTACATAGGACTCCAAATACGAACGTGCAAATGGCGTGAAAATTCGTGAACAATTTCTAGTTTTGAAAGTCGAATTTAATTTTCAGATTTTCACCGGAGTAAGATTTCCACCGGTTTCAGATTTCCATCTTTACCTGTTGATCCAGTTTTCTCAAGTTGGGTTAATTTTTTCAAAAAAGCGCCAATCATAAATCGTTCTAGAAATTCAAAGAGCTTGAAGGGCATCTATTTTTTTCTTAGAAATCTGAAATTTGATATTGTTTTAACAAAGCCAGTGTTTTTTTATGTTACTTGCGTTCATTACTCTTTTCCAATTTTCGATTGGCTATGTTTTTAATATAAAAAGTTGTGTCATCAAAAAAAGATCAAAAACTACCCTCTCATATCTTGAACTAAGGGTTCAATAGAAATTACAGGTTGTGGGAATCCTACCGGCGTAAGCGGCTACGCTCCAATTTTCGTAGAAAGTTAGCTTAGTTCTCGGGGAAGTCAATTTTATTTAAGTGTTCGATTGTTTTTTTTGGAAACTTTGTTACTTTTATCGACAACAACCTGTCAAATCTGATATCAAAAGTTTAAGCGAAGTTAAGGGTTTTGACAATACTCCCTGCATTAACGAATTTGCCTTATTTGTTGTAAGAAAAAAATCTAATCGCCTAGGGAAAAGTCAAATTATTGAAACTTCGGACTATTTTTTCGGACATTTTTGACCACTTAATTTCAATATTAGTTGTTCATTTCCAATAACAGATTTCGAAATTCTTAGCTGGATAAGCTGGTACGACCTTATATCAGTAGAAAAAAATTATAGCCTTCGAAAAATTCAAATTTGTTTATTTCTGGGACCGTCTTTCGGAGTTTTTTTTTGTATTTTTTCAAAATCTACCCTGCCAAATCTGAGATTGAGAGTTCAGTCGAAGAAACATGTGGCGATAATTTTCGTGCACAATCAATTTTGTTTTTCGACGTGGTGGCTTTCTGTTTTTGTATCGCAAGTGGTGCGAAGCTCAGCTTCGCCTCTGTGTTAAGAGCTAATCAACAGGTCCTTGATTTCAAAGATATCAAAATTATTTTATAATATAGCAATTGTGGTAAATGCAAAATTATTTTATAATATTGAGCAATTGTGGTAAATTTTGTTTTAAAAATTGTTCAAAATGGAGCCCCGATAATGTCCAAAAGGTTTGTTTTGATTAAAATTTTTCTTTGAATTTGTTTCCTTGAATTAGTGAGGTCAGTTTCAAATGCATCTTAAAAATTGCTCAAAATGGATCCCAAAGATAGTTCAAAAGATTTTTATTTACGATTTTGTTTGGTTTTGTAATTTTCCCAAATTTGTTTTTCTTTGCAACCGGCTATCTTTGGCTCAATTTGAAATGGTTTAATGAAAAAGTTATTAATCATATAAGATTTTGAAAATTGAGGGAATATAAGGGTGATACCGTTAAAATGTCTGTTGGTTATGTTTTTACTGTATGTTACTTTTGACCGTTATTTCAATTTGAGCTTTCTCGATTGAATTCGTGGCTGTTATTTCAGGTGTCTTTTTCGTACTGATGACCAGCAGTTTCCTCATGAATGTCATTTTCGTCAGGTCAGACACCACCAAGTTTCAGTCAGTTGTCGACCCATTATACGCCGACAACTTTAAAACAATCAAGCTCACCCCTTGTGTTCCGGCTATGACACATCTATTTGGAACTCGAAGGGTGTTGAAGTGGCTTCTGATGCCTCTGGGCAGACATAGAGTGGTACCTAAACTAATCTACGAGTACCCAAAAGGCAGAGAACCGAATGTACTCTGAATACTAACAATCTTTCTAAATTAAAGCCAAGCTAATGCCAAAATTGCCGGCTCATTTCCAGTGTCCCACCGCTTTGTAAAACTACATCATTGAGTTGTATCAAAATGACGGAACTGCACTTTGAATGCAATAAAGGGTTCACTTTTGGTCAATGACATGTTTTATTGTAAATGTAATGACATGTTTCAATGACGTGTTTTATTATGTCTGTAATTGTTTTTAATTACATTTCAGAAATTGTGTTTTTGCAAAAATGAATCTAATGCGGGTGGGGACTGTAAGCGAGCCTAATTGCCAAAAGCCTCTGGGTCCAAGCCTCTGTGAGACAAAATTATCTTAGAGTAAAAATCGTCCCAATTTCAGCACAGGTACAAAAAGCAGCACTATGGAAAAGCAATAAGTCTGCATTGAGGAAACAGTGCTTATATGAAGTGTTTTACAGACGTGCTAAGCGGGAGAAATAATTTGTATGGGCTTGTTATGCCGACTTTACCTTAAGTGTGGTAATTTATTCTGGGATGATTTTGTCTTGGATGAATTTGACCTTTTACAGCTAAGTTTTTTAATTCGACGAATGTATCAAAAATTTTCTGCACATAAATACATTTTTGCTGCATCATTCGCTTTTAGCGCATCCATGTGCAGTTCTCCCATCTACGTTTTAAAAAGCGTTAGGAGCAATAACTATGCTTTAGTATCAGTAATTCATCTTCCAATATTTTGAAATACTTTGAATAAAAAACTATTTTGTTTTCTTGTTCCAATTTGTCCTTTCTAATATGTAAATAAATGATTTCTCTCCCAATTGTACATAAAAACTTCTTTATGTAAAAATCTAATATCCAATGTTCTAGTGATTCAAAATGCTGCTGATTGATTCACACAAACTTAGAGTTTGCGTAACATTTGAATTAATACCAAATCCAGGAGACCGTTTTCTATGCCTCATAATTGTGCCTAACACCTAACACTTTTAGTGTCTTCAAATTAAATAACCAAATTTTATAAAATGATTATTATAGAGATAAATAAATTGAAAATCGACTTTGTTAAATTGCAATAATTTTGAACATGTTTTCCACAAGCAGCTAGAAATCGGAATTTTAGAAATTCCGAACGTGTAACTGAAACTTAATTTTGTAAGGATGCGTTGTATAGTCAATGCCAAATTATTGGCAAATTACTGTTCTATCAACAAATCTGAACGAAGTTAATAAAACTAAAACTGCTCTTGTTGAGGTCGGAAACCAATTTTCCACTCAAATGGTTAAATCAAAACGTGTCAAATAATCTAAACATAAAAAGGAACCCTTTTTGACCGATTAAGCTGCTCAAGGTCAAAGATTTGGATATTGCCATCAATTTGGAATTATTAAGAGTCGGTGAACGTATTTTAGACTGTTGATTAGGTCGCGATGATTTTTTGTTTCGGGCTCAAACATACTTTTTCGCAGTTTCACCTTTGATTTCTTTTCAAGTTCACATCATTTTTTGTTAAAAAATGGAACTACGGAACAGCACAAGTGTAAAGGTTACGAAAAGCGTGATTGATTTCTAGTTCCGAAAATATTTGAGATTTCTCAGCGAAATACACATTTTCCTTATTGATGATTCAGGTTTCAAATTGAGTTATTTTTGTTAAAAATGTGCTAATCATAATTTGTTCTATAAAATCAAAGAGCCATAAGGCCATCAATTTGTTTCTTTGAAAATTGAACAAACAAGTCAGTATTTTTTAAGCAGTTTTTTTTAAACAAGTCAGTAAAGTCATTATTCGATAATGATTTTACTAGAAAAATCATTATTCGATAAATTGCTCACGTTCCGTCAGCATTCAAGTTTGCAAATTATTATAATAATGATTTTTCTAGGGACTATTATTGGCGGCAATTCAAGTTACTGGGTTTTTCCTGTAAACAAAATAAAACCATTTTCAAAATCAGTTCATCAAGTCAGTTTTTGTCTTCTTGATCTGTGTTGTTCAAAATAAGGATTAACATGTTTTATGGGATTTTTTTTCAGTTCTCGGTTTAAAATGGCAACGGTTTTGGTTGCTGCATGTTTTTTTGAAGCGCAAATTTAGATGCCCTATCGTATTTATACAGCTTTTTTGAGTGTTTATATCGCATGAATTTTTTCAGCGTCGTGGCAAACGTTTGAATTTTTTGTGCTTAGTTTCACATTTTTTATAGAAGTATTTTCGAGAAAATATAATTCTCAATCTTGTTAGAACGTAATGAACGTAGTGAAGACTCTTTTATGGGTCTTGCTAATTTTCTTTTCAGGAAAAAGTCTTAAAATATTGATGCATTTAACTACATGTGCACTTTTTGAGTAAGTTTTTAATTTTAATTTTTGAAAACTCAAATTTCTGAGAAAAATTTAGTTTTTTGTTTTAGCTTTTTGCCGATGGTATGTATTAGGCTCTTGATGTTTAAGCGTTTTTGTACTAATTCATGGCCTAGTTTTCAATCTTGTCGGGGCCGTTCTTCAAATATCTGCCTGCGGCTCAAAGTTTGTTGGCAAAGCAGCGTCTATTTAAGGTACAACGTTCGGAAAATCAAATTTGTCGGCTAAAAATGTCGACAATGTTTTTTTAAGCAGCACCCCTGAGAAAAATATCTGCGCATGCCACTCTTATAGTCCGCAGTTTTTCTTGTACAAGTCGCAAATTGCGTAGCACTGATTTTTTGCTTCCAATTTATGACGTCAAAATAAAGCATTCGAAAGTTTAAGCTCAATAGTACGACTTGCTTCTTAAACAAATTTAAGGAAAGAGAAGTACGGAATATTTCTTGTCATTTTTAAATCAGCCTAATTTTGAAGTTGAAGTTGAATATTTAAAAGGCCTCGAAAGAATGAACAATTTTTGGATCAGTTGTAATTTAGTTTTAAAAAAAATAGTTAACTTATTTTTGTTATAGTTTTGTTAACACCTGAGAATTACAGGCTTTGATCGACTTGTATCGCTTGGCCAAAGCTGAGAATGATAAATACACATTGTTTCGAAACAGACATTTTAACCACTTGCCATTCAAATTTTTTTACCAATGGTTTTAGAAAAATATGATATCGACAATGTTTTTTTTTAAACAGCACCCCTGAGAAAAACCAACCCTTGTACAAGTCGCAAATTGCATTTCACAGAGTTTTTGCTTCCAATTCATGGCGTCAAAATCTAGCATTAGAAAATTTTAGCTCAAATTTCTAGTGATTCTTATTTCGTTAAGTAAATTTTTGACGCGAGAACTTACTTAATTGTAAAGGTAGGAAACTATCGTTTGAAGAAAAAATCAAAATGATGGCTAATTCTTTTATGCACTTCGCGCTAGGAGTAGGAATAGTTTGTGCTCACAAAATAAATAAAACAAGCTTCTTTTCCAAGATTTGTAATCAAAACAATCATAGTAGAGGACAATTGCGGTGATAAAACGCTCTGTACGACTTGAAAAAATTGAAAAATAGCAGGTTTTTCTTTTTTTTTGAACTTCCTTCGAAACTTTTTTGAAGAATTGTTTAGGAAAAATTTACATAAATCAATAGTTGGATACTTCCAATAAAAGCTGATCTTAGATAGAACGACTAAATTAAATATAATTTGCACAAAAACAATTCTGGCGAGGCGTTGCTTAGGGAAAACACAGAAAACAATTGCATAACTTTTCAACAGTTTGAAGAGCTACTTTTTACGACTTATAAAAAAGTGAGGAAGTTATTTGTTTTGAATATAATCAGAACAACAAGAGTAGAAGTTTCTAAAAAGTCGTTGATGTGGTAACTACGCATACAAACTTAGGCAGACACTAAGCAATCCACGAAAAAACTTTCTTAGTGGTTAAGAAAAAACAATTCTTGGCGGGTCCTGAAAAGCGGACCCATGTTGCCTTAATTATGGTCTATAATACTTCACCGAACACGCAAAGTAAAAAGTTGGATTTTAAGTCGGTAATATGTTAGGTAATGTTTTTGTTAGCAATAGGCAAAATAGGCATCTTTTCAAAATTTTGTAAATCAAATAGAAGGCAACTGAATTGAAAAGGTGCTTTCACACAAAAATTTATGAACCTCGAAAAAGTCAGAAACGGAATTTTTTTTTACCGTTTTTTGAAATTTTTCGACATATCGAAAACCAACCCCAAAGCTGCCTTTTGATTTGAATCATAAAAAGGGATTTTGAAAACCTCCCCTGCATAAGCTGTACACTCAGTTTCTTTACACGAAAAGCTATGACCGTAGAAAAAAAGAAAAACCGTGAATTTTTGACCGTTTTCGGAAAGTTTTTGACTTTTCTCAAAAACTAACCTTATCCAAGCTTTTAATTTGAATCAAAGGACGATTTTTGAGAACCTCTCCCGCAAAAACTGCTACGCCCAAATTTTGCTTCACAAAAAGTTATGACCCTCATTGTGATTTTTTTACCATTCTTTCAAACTTAATGGCCTTTTTGAAAAACTACTCTCACAAATCTGAAAATTTAGGTTCAATGTAGAGTATAAGAAGTTGGAAAGTTTTTTGAATAAGCGGCTACGCCCAATTTGTTTACACGAAAATTTATGGTCTTTGTAAAAAGCAAATTTTTGTTGTTTTTTTAACCGTTTTTAGAACTTTTTAATCGAAAGCTTAATCGAAAGTTTTTATCGAAAGCTACGCTTCCAAATCTGAGATTTCTGTTTCAAAAAGACGAGTTGTAAGATGCTCCCCTGCATAATCGATGCCCAATTTTTTTACAAAAAAAATTGTAACCCTGGATTTTTTTTTATTTGTTGAGAGTTTTTCGAAAATTTTTAACTTTCCCAGAAAACTACTCTTTTGAGTCTGAGATTTTGTGTTCAATTAAAAACAAAAACAGGCTGTGAAATACTCCAAAATTGTTTGCACAAAAAATTATGGCCTTCTGAAAAGTCAAGTTTTAGATTTTGAAAATTTTTGTCATTTTTCGAAAACCACACTCAAATCTGAGATTTCGGGTTTAAAAAAATGGGTGGATGGAAACTCACCTGTAAAAGCGAAGCAGCTAAGCCCATTTTTCTACACAGAAAGTTACGGTCTTCAAAAAAATTTTTGAAATTTTTCATCGTTTTTTCAACGAAAAGTACCCTTCTCTCTAAATCTAAAACGTTTTTATCGAAAAAAACACTGCCAAAACCTAAATTAGGGATCAATGGAAGAAAAAGGTTGAGAAAAAAGCTCCCCTGTAGAAGCAAGCGGCTACGTTCAAAGTTTCCAAAAAAATATTGAAACCTCAGAATGATTATTTGATTTCCAGTCCGATGTTTTGAAACTTTTTTCCATTTTCCGAAAACTGTCGAGCCGAGTCTAGTATTAGGGGTTTAATGGAGGCAACAGATTTTATCAAGAGTCTAATATCAAGTGTTTAATGGAGGCTACGCCTTAAAGTTACCATGAAAATTGTTAAGTTTGGGGAAATTTTCAAACTCTCAAAAACATTAATTTTCATTTTATTAGAGAAACAACTAAGGCTTTGGATGAAACCCACTTCTTGAAATTGCATGCATCATCCTGCATCATAACAACAAAAATCAAAAGTTATCCAACAAGTACCCCTTAGCTGGCCCTTAGTTTTTTTTTTGAATGGCCGCTGTTTGAAAATTCTAGTGCAGTTGTTGGAAACACACATTTTTAGACCCGGACTAAAGTCTATGCATGGTTTCATAGACTTTATTCCGGGTCTAAAAACGTCTGTTTTCAATAAATTCACTAGAACTTTCAAACAGCGGCCATTCAAAAAAAATAACTAAGGGCCAGCTAAGGGGTACTTGAATGAAAACTTCATAGAGGGCAAATTTGATCAGAAAAATTACGGAGATCTCTGACTGTAAAACTTGTTTAAATTTCGAAGTAAACGCCGAAAAAAAAATAGTTCGAAATCATCCTTGGAAACAAACTTGCTAGGATTAAAAATGCGAATTCACGTTCAATTTTGTTTACTAGTGTCTGAACACATTTGTTCTTCACATTTTAGTCCAAAATGTCTGAAATTTACCGATAGAACAAATCAAAATCAAACTGAAAATTAAAAATTTGTAAGGTGAGGAGAGAAGGTAGGAAAAA